AAGAATAAAATATCTAGGAATGGAGAGGAAAGACATCTCATGTTCATGGATTGGGAGCCTTCATATTAAGATGGCAATATCATCCATAATGATCTACAGACTCAATGCAACCTCTACCAAAATTCCAAAGACCTTTTGCAGAAAATGAAAACCCAATCCTCAAATTTATATGAAATTTCAAGGAGATTCAAGTAGCCAAAACAATCTTGAAAGAGAAGAAAAAAAATGGAGGACTGATATTTCCTAATTTCAAAATTTAGCACAAAGCCACAGTAGTCAAAATAGTATGATATGGGCCGGGCGCGGTGGCTCACACCTGTAATCCCAGCACTTTGGGAGGCCGAGATGGGCGGATCACGAGGTCAGGAGATCGAGACCATCCTGGCTAACATGGTGAAACCCCGTCTCTACTAAAAAATACGAAAAACTAGCTGGGCGTGGTGGCGGGCACCTGTAGTCCCAGCTACTCGGGAGGCTGAGGCAGGAGAATGGCGTGAACCCGGGAGGTGGAGCTTGCAGTGAGCCGAGATCGCGCCACTGCACTCCAGCCTGGGTGACAGAGTGAGACTGCATCTCAAAAAAAAAAAAAAAAAAAATAGTATGATATGGTCATCAAGATAGACATATAGACAAACAGCACAGAATCTATTTCATAGATAAGCCTATATATCTATAGCCAATGGTTTTTAACAAATGTGCCAAGACAATTCAACAGAGAAATAATAATCTCCTCAATAAATGGTGCTGAGACAACTACATATTCACAAGCAAAAAAAAAAAAAAAAAAGAGTTAGATTATCTACCCCACACAACATAAAAAAATTAACTCAAAATTTGTCAAAGATCTTAATGTAAGAAGCCCAGGGAAAGAATTGCAAAACAAGACTATAAGATTTTGCATTATTAGCTAATTTTATGGCCCTTGCCACCTCACTCACACATTATGAATAAGGAATTATGCAGAAATGAGTGGAGTTGCTTGGCTAGAGGTCCCTGCAATCCAGGGAAAGAGACGCGTCTATTTCTTGTCCTCCGGGTCCCACCGTTGGGGGCGGGGGTGACTCTCCCTGGCAGGTGGCTCCTGCCCAAGGGCCCTTTTGAAGCTGAGCCTCAGTCCAGCCTGAGGGGACCGGAGCAGGGAGCAGCCCCTCCAGCTGCAGGGAGGCTCCCTTCGTGGGCAGTGGTCTCCATGTACCAGGGTCGGGGTGCCATCGGGGGTCATCTGGGAAATAGGGTTCTCACCAGAAGCCTCCTTCCCTCCTCACCTCTCTGCCCCACCCTCTGTCGAGTAAAACACTTTCCTCAGGGTCCACAGTTGATCACAATTAATGAGCCACCAGCTGCTCTGCTCCCCCGGAGAGGCTCAGTCTGAGAAACAGGGAAGTAGGGGCTCCAGGGAGATGCAGTTCCCATGCCCACCCTCCTGACATGACCCTTCTGGACCAGAGAATCGAGGAGGGTCCATGGGGTAACCCTTCCCCACCTGGAGTGGAGGGAGCCTCGTTGTCTGACCCCAGCACCTGACACTGAAGCTGGGCCACCTCTGCCCTTCCAGCCACTGGAGAGCTTCTCTGAAAGCACAAAGCAAACCCTGCCCATCCCCTACTGGAAACCTTGCCAGGCATCACCAGGGATGTCTCACATAGCATCCTGTCCCCATCACCCTGGCCCCTGTGTCTCCATCTCCCCAGCTGTCCCCAGTCCAGCCTCACCACTGCCTTCTGGGTCTGAGGTCACTCCTGCTGGATGGCTTCATCTGACATGGTCCCTGGAGTTCTCGGCCTACACAGGTCCCAGCTCAGGTACCCCTGCCTTCAAAGGTGGCTGCCACACATGCAGCCCCTCCCAGCCTGGGCTACCCATTGTCTGTTTTGCCTTCTTTGGCCCCTCCCTGCTCTAGAGCCATCCTCCTGGAGTGGGAGCCACAAGAACAGGGCCGGGGTCACCACAGTTCCCTCACCGTGTCCTCGGCCAGAGTGGGAGTCCGTTCTGTGCTCTCAGACTCACTGGAGGAATCGAGGTTGATTGGTATCAGAACCAGTGGCTGCCTTCACAAACCACAAAATGAGCCCTTAAAACAGTACAATGTGTCGTCCTTCCGTCCTGGAGGTCAGAGCGGGTCTCACTGGGCTAACATCTTGCTGTCTGCTCCTTCCAGAGCCAGCTTCCTGCTTCCTGCTGCCCCATCCTCTGGAGCCACCTACATCCCTTGGCTTGTGGCCCCTCCTCCATCCTCACACTGCAGCTCGCAGACCTCTGCTCCCACGGCATCACTCCCTGCTTCCCTCTATAAGGAGGATGGAACATAAATAAAATATGTAAATACAGATTACATACAATTAGGTTTATTTTACATGTAAAGAGATTATAGCATAGAATATAATTACACAGGGATGACCTCCTGGCTCAAGATCCTTAACTCAGTCCCACCTGCAGGGTCCCTGTGCCACGTGGGGACAGAGTTACGGGGTCCTTAACTCAGTCCATCTGCAGGGTCCCTGTGCCACGTGGGGACAGGGTCACGGGGTCCTTAACTCAGTCCATTTGCAGGGATCCTGTGCCACGTGGGGACAGGGTCACAGGGTCCTTAACTCAGTCCCACCTGCAGGGTCCCTGTGCCACATGGGGACAGAGTTACGGGGTCCTTAACTCAGTCCCACCTGCAGGGACCCTGTGCCACGTGGGGACAGAGTCACAGGGTCCTTAACTCAGTCCCACCTGCAGGGTCCTTGTGCCACATGGGGACAGAGTTACGGGGTCCTTAACTCAGTCCATCTGCAGGGACCCTGTGCCACGTGGCGACAGGGTCACAGGGTCCTGGGATTGGGGCGTGGACACATTTGGGGGACTGCCAACCACAGGTTCTTTGGGTAAGAGAGAGGGGAGCCTCTTGAGGCTTGAGACATGGGGCAGAGATAGCCTCAGCCCTGGAGAACTCAGGGGACACAGGTGTCCTCTGCGGACCTCGATTAGGATAAGAAGGGGCTGGGTGCCCTGGGGCCACTGTCCAGAGGCCTGTAAGGAACTCATTCCTTCGACACCAGCACCAAGGCCCCTCCCCACATGGTGCCACCCACACCTGGCCCAGCATCCACAGATACACCAACTTCTGGGCATGGCTCCAAAACTGCCAGCAAGCGCAGGCCGTCGTCCCCTCCCATCGGGAGAGCAAAAGCAACGCGTAAAATATGCTTCTGATTCATACAATATGCTTCTTGTTCAGCCTCCTTGGTCTCTAAGAAAAGCTCGGGCTGCATGAGACGATCCCTAGGAAGAAAGACGGAGAGCCCACGGGGCCAGGGCCCTCTGGGACCGGGTCTTCCTGCGGTCTTCCCTCCTCCAGGGGCCCCGGAAGCTGGCTCCAGCGAGCCCTCAACCTCCCACAGCCCCCGTGCTGGGTCACCTGCGCCGCCCCTACTGGGCCAACTGCCCCCACCCTCAGTCCAACCTTGTGGTCACCAAGCCCCGAAGCCCAGGGAGGTCCGAGCTGCATGGCAGGTGCCTCCTGCAGATTCGGAGAGGGGCTATGCGTGTCTCCTGCCACGTCCCTGGCTGACTGTACCCACCCCCATGCCCCAGAGCATGGAGGTCCTCCCTGTGCCCAGGTCCCGGTTCAGGCCTCCCAGGGGGGTGCAGGAATGAGTTTCCGGAGGGTGTTGGCCAGACTCGGCTTCCTGCACCTTCTGCTGTGCTCCTCCTGTAACACTGACTTGGGGCGGGAGCGCAGCGGCGTTCTGTGGGAGGGCGGGGAGTGGGTCAGATCCAGGGTCACGTTGCCGGGGAGGGGGTTGCCAGGCTGGCCCAGTGCCGAGTTGGGTGTCAGGGGGTGGAACAGGCTGACCCTGTGGGCGTTGAGGCACCGGGCAAGGCACAGGGTCTGTGATTGGCAGGAATCCCCAAGTGTTCAATGGGGTCTGACCCGGCCGGGCCGGGTCCGCACTTTATTTGGGTCTAGCGGCCACCAGGCTGAGAAGCCTCAGTCCACAGATGTGGGGTCTGAGCTCCCATGCAACATCAGAGGCACATGGCCCACAGTTGCTGGGCGGCCAAGGCTGGCGGGATGGCGGCCACCACATTGAGAGCCGTGGGTCAGGCCGAGACAGGCACAGGTCTGGCAAACCTCTGAGCGCTGCAGGAGACTCAGCACTTCCCAGGAATTTCTATTTTTCAATTTTGCATACTCCAGGGACCAGCCCAGGGAGACCAGACTGGGAGGTGGCCTCTGTGTGGGCATAGGCCAGGGATCAACAGTTGCCTCCTGTTCACACCAGGCCCCTCTTCTGAGTCCTGGGAGGGAGGAACAGAGTGCAGCAGCAATGATCCATCCACACGGAGAGTGGGCGGGAAGTGGGCCCAACCCCGGGGCCAAGACTGTTGGAAAAAGCCCACTGACATTGGCCGGGAGGAGTGTGTGGCCCCAGGCTCAGGTCCCCGGCATGGCCCAGCGTCCAGCGGGCCTCAGCTGCAGAAGTACCATCTGCTCCCAGCAGGGTCTGTCCACACTCCTGGAACCCAGGGGAGGTGGGGGCACCACCGTGGGGCTTCCTGAGGGCAGCGCTGCCCTCCCTGCCTCAGCCGCTTTCTCCTGGGGCAGCTTGTGGGCGTGTCCCTCTGCCATGGCCTTTCCTGGTGACACCACAGCAGGGCCAGGCAGGGCAGCAGGGCGGCAAAGTCAGAGTCCTCTTTTTCAGGCAGGGTTGCTCCTCTGTCTGCCCTTCACAGGTCAGATTGCGTGGGCCGTGAGTGGCATGTGTGGGGGCTCCTAGATGGGCAGGGGTGGGAGTAGAGCTGGGGAGGAGGGCAGCCCAGGGAGCCATTGGCCCCCATTGTCCCAGGAAGCCTGGGGTCTGGATCCTGAGAGCCACGGGGAGCCTCAGAGCAGGGGTCAGCAATGCCTCCGGCAAAGGGCCAGAGAGAATCCAGCTCCGTATGCAGCCTCCTGGTATATGCCTGGACACACGAGCAGCCACGGACAATATGAGAAAGAGTGAGCACGGCTGTGTCAATAAAACTTTATTTATGGATAGCAAAGTTGACTTTCATAGCATTCTCATATGTCACAAATATTAATCTTTTGATTTTTTTCCAACCATTTTCAGCTTCTGGGCCCCAGAAACACAGCAGCTGGCCCGACCGTGGCAGACATCATTAATCAATCCTGCACACTCCCCAGCTCAGCCCTGTCCCTGATCCCAGGGGGCTGCTCCACAGGCCGGCAGGAGCCCCCAGGTCGGACTGGAGGCCCCGGGGACAACCTGGGTGCTCAAGGCTCGCTCTGTGTGTTGCCACCTCCGTTTGCACCCAGACCCTCCTGCAACGTGGCTCAGCAAACCTCTTAAATGGGTCATTGGATGCTAAACTTGAACTTTCACAGGGCGGGGTTTCTTCAAACGGGACACACCAGAGTCCAGGCCAGGCCGCGACCCTGCTGCCAGTGCCTGTCCCAGATCAGGGATTCCAAATACCCAGTGGGGCCCCTGGTCCCGCACTGAAGCCAATTCCTGCTGCCCCCAGGAGTGTGAGGTGCCCCGGGGGTCTTCCTGAGAGCAGGCAGGTGTGAGGAGACTGACCCCAGAAATGGGACCGCGGGAACCCAAAAAGCTACAGCTGGGTGGCCAGGTCCACCATCCACGCCCTCAGTGTCTTCTACAGACCAAGGGTCCCGGACCTGGTGGGCAGGGCACGTGACTGGGCAGCTCTCCTCTCCCTGGAATGCCCATCTTCTGTCTTGAGGCAAAAAATTATGTTTTAGGGGTTTTCCAGGCCGGGCTCCTCAGAGGTGCAGGGAGACGTTCAGAGCTGAGACTCTGGAGGGAGCAGAGGGGCGGGGGGCATCCCAGCCTCATCCACAAAGGCCCCTTCGCAGGGAGCCTCCCTCTCCCTCTGCTCCTCTGCTCCCCACTCCCTCCTCCCCACTCCCTCCTCCCCACTCCCTCCTCCCTCCCCCACTCCCTCCTCCCCACTCCCTCCTCCCCACTCCCTCCTCCCCAGTGCTAGAAACAGGCTCCTCCGCACCTTGCCCTGGCTGCAGAATGCAGCTTAATTACATGGTCTGCGGGTTGGGGCCCTGAGAGAGGCTGGGGCTGGTTCGTGGCCCAGACGCCTCCCCAGCCAGTTCTGCCCTGCTCGCCCCAGGCAGCTCGGCCTCTATCAGGAGGGGCAGCTCTGATCCGCCACTGTCCACGGCGTGGAGCACCGTGAATCACAGCGAATTCATTAGGCATTTCACTGGGGGCCAGGGTACCCAACTTGACGTCAATTACACCGAAATTAAGTGGCAGTGTCCACTGCGTGGGGCCCGAGCTGTGAGGCCACTTCTGTCTCCCAGAGCCCAACCGCAGGTCCATGTGCCCAGGCAGGATCTCACCGCAGGGGTGACGTGGGGAGGTCAGTCCGGCTTCCCAGAGAGCGGCCCGCAGCTCCCGGCTCAGGTTCCCGGCTCAGGTTCCCAGGCTGCAGCGTGAGGGGCGTGGGGCAAGGACGGCCTGGTTGGTGTCGGGTCAGTGGGGAGAGCCCTCGCCCTGAAAGCCCAGGCCAGCCCCTGCCCACGGCCCTTGTGCCCACTGTGCCACGGAGGCAGCAGCCGCGTCGCCTGGGGGCTTGTTAGAAACACAGGACCAGACCTGCCCAGCATCTGCACCCTCACGCTGTCTCCAAGGGCTCCCGGGCACGGGAGTCAGAAGCCCTGCTCTGGGGAGCCGGGTCTCCTAGCAAGAGCCGGGGCCCATCTGAGCTCTGAGGGCGGCCACCTCGACCCGCGTGACGGGGGCTCCCCAGGGTGCCCGGGCTCCTGTTCATTTCTTCTCAGCCGTCCTTGAGGCGGCAAATCCCCAGGCTCTGCCGAGGGCCTCCCGGCCTCCTGACATGGGTGAACTCGGGGCAGGCCTCAGTGACTGTCTTGCCTGGTTGCTCAGCGCTGCTGATCTTGGCAAACCGAGGGTCTTCCTGTGGTGTGGACCAGAGGGAGCAGCTGGGAGGAGAGACCCTGAGGCACAACCCCACGGCGTGGCATATTCTGGGTGATCCTGCAATTAAAATCCCCGTGCTGCAGCATCGCTGAAAATGGGATTCGCATAATTTGAAATTTGAGGAAAATCTCTAAATACTTTAATTTTGATAGAAACTATTTCCACTGCTGACATGTGTCTACACCTATAATTTCAGCTGATAAATTGCTGTAATTTCTCCTCCATTTCATGTTCTTTCGAACATTAATTGTCAGTTGCAGGGTAAGACTGTAGAAAAGACAGGGGGAGAACAGGGCCCCAGCCGGGTGTCGCCAGCGTCTTAGCGGCTGATTACACAGCTCACAGACTCAGTGGAGACGTGAGGCTCACGGGGTGCGCCCTCGGCCCCTGAGGCCTGCGGAGCAGCAGCCCAGACTCACAAGACGGAGATCACTGGGCAGGCGCACACACTAAGTCACACACGGGCACACCCATGCTCTAACCCATGTTCACACCCGCTCACATATACACACACACACACTCGGACACATACACACAGCTGTCACCTACCACACACATTCACACACATACATTCACACGGGAGTATGTGCACATGTGTGCAACAGAGAGAGAAAGAGAGAGGGGAGAGAGAGAGAGGGGAGAGAGAGAGGGGGGAGAGAGAGGGAGAGAGAGGGGGGGAGAGAGAGGGGGGAGAGAGAGGGGAGAGAGAGACGGGGGAGAGAGAGAGGGAGAGGGAGAGGGAGAGGGAAGGAGAGGGAGAGAGGGAGGGAGAGGGAGAGAGGGAGGGAGAGGGAGAGAGGGAGGGAGAGGGAGAGAGGGAGGGAGACCGAGAGAGAGAGGGAGAGGGAGAGAGGGAGGGAGAGGGGGAGAGAGAGAGGAAGAGGGGTAGGGAGAGGGAGAGGGACAGAGGGAGAGGGGGAGAGAGAGGGAGAGGGAGAGAGAGAGACAGGGAGAGAGAGAGGGAGAGAGAGAGGGAGAGGGAGAGAGGGAGGGAGAGGAGGAGGGAGAGGGAGAGGAGAGAGAGAGGGAGAGGGAGAGGGAGAGAGGGAGGGAGAGGAAGAGGGAGAAGGAGAAGAGAGAGAGAAGGAGAGAGAGAGAGAGGGAGAGGGGGAGAGAGAGGGAGAGAGAGAGAGAAGGAGAGAGAGAGAGATGGACAGAGAGAGGGAGAGAAAGGGAAGGAGAGAGAGAGGGGGAGAGAGAGAGGGAGAGAGAGAAGGGGGAGAGAGAGAGAGGGGAAAAGACAGGGAGAGAGAGAGGGAGAGAGGGGGGGGAGAGAGAGAGAGGGAAATAGACAGAGAGAGAGAGAGGGAGAGAGGGAGAGAGAGAGGGAGAGAGAGGGAGGGAGACAGAGAAAGACAGGGAGAGAGAGACAGGGAGAGACAGAGGGAGAGAGAGGGGGAGAGAGGGAGAGAGAGAAGGGGGAGAGAGAGAGACAGGGAGAGAGAGACAGGGAGAGAGAGAGGGAGAGAGGGAGAGACAGGGAGAGAGAGAGGGAGAGAAGGAGAGAGAGAGGGAGAGAGAGGGAGGGAGAGAGAGAGGGAGAGAGAGAAGGGGGAGAGAGAGAGAGGGAGAGAGAGACAGGGAGAGAGGGAGAGGGAGAGGGGGGAGAGAAATACAGAGACGGAGAGAGAGAGGGAAAGGGGGTGAGGGGGGTAGAGAGAGAGCGAGCCTCTCAGAAAAGGTCAAACATCCTCCTGACACACCTGGTTGCCCCCATGTAGGGATAGAGGTGGGGATACCTGACGGCTTTGCCTTCTACTCCTCCAGTGCCTGCCCATCAGTACAGCGGGGCTGCCCTGCCCGCCTGCGACCACCTTTCCCTGCAGCCTGTGTGCTTTGTCCCCGAGTCTCCAGGACAGCCCGCTAGTGGCATGGTGGCTCCCTGGGTGGGAGGAGCAGAACCCCTCAGGGCCCCTCGGCACTCCCCCCAAACCTCCCCAGGGGCCCCCATGGGCTTCAGTGCCCTGGAAGAGGCTGTCTAGGCTCCCTGTGCTGCTGCTCCTAGCGCCCCAGCCCCAGGCCGCTTCCCTGCCCCTCTGTCAGAAGCTGGGCTGGCCTCGGAGGGTCCTCCCACAGCTGACCGCTCCAGGGCAGAGGCCTTCTCATCTCTGTTCTCTCTGTTCTCACCGTGCAGGCAGGAGTAGGAAGGGAGGCAACAGGAGGGAGTGGGGAGAAGGAGGGGGCGCGGACCCTGTGAACAGGCCCTCCTTCCCTGGTGCCCCATCTCCCTCCCCGTCCCTGAGTGGACACCCTGGACCAAGCTGAGCCCACAAAGGCACCCACCCTGAGTGCTTATCCCTACCAGTTCCATGTGGCCCCCTCAGGCACTTTCCACAGTTGGCTCAGGTGCAGCAGCGGTCCCGAGAACAGAAGTGGCCAGGAGACCCTGGCCCTGCCCCTGGGGCCCCAGAAACAGCTACTGCTCTTGAATCCCCATCCCCGAGTGCTCAATTTCTCTGGCCCTCTGGGTCCTTTCGAGGTTCCTGGCGTTTACCAAGGAGAAAGACAAAGGAGGGGAGGCTGCAGGGCTGTGGGGATGGTGTAGTCCCACCCAGCCACCCCCAGCAGGATGGTGTGTGGGGCTGAACCCCTGCCAAGATCTCTTCCCCGCTTTTCTGTGGGAAGGAGCTGGCCAGGGCCAGACCCCTGGCTCAGACATGAAGCTAAAAGTGCCTCAGGATTTGGTCCCAGGTCCCTGTCCTCCGCCCCAAATGCCTCCGGAGCCTTCATCCCTTCAGGCACCTCACCCACTTCCACCCAACCCTGCCTGCCCTGGGCGGACCCTCCCCCAGCTCTGCCCTTCCCCACACCCCAAACCCACCTTCCCCACTCTGTTAAAACAAAGCTCCTCTTACCAGGGTATGTCACATGGCGCCGCCGAATTATTCCATTAATTTATTATTCATGATGAAAAATTATTCTAATAACATTTCCATGCTATTAATATTCCAAAGACGAGCCGTTGAAAGCCCCTTCCTGCGGCCCTCCTCTTGGTGAGAGCCAATCTATTTTTAACAAAGTGTATTGAAATTTAAATCTAATCATCCACAATATGCTACGTTTAACAAATATGCTTTCAAAGAGTCTGTGAGAGGAGCCAGGCCGGGTGGTCCCGGAGGAGGCAGGCGGGTGGGCCCCTGCGGTGGGCGTTGGAGGTGCCATTCTCGGCTGCCCCTGGCCCTGCAGATGGAGTCTCTGTGCCACAACCCCTTTCCTCACTGGGGGAGCCAGGCCAAGCGACCCCGCCTTGCTGCTTCCCTCCCTCCCTCCTTCCTTTCTTTCCTTGTCCCACCCCTCAGTCCGTCCAGAGACTCTCAGAGTTTGGCTTTGGGGAGCAGGTGCGCGGGGGTCTCTAACAGGAGCTGACGTCTGATTTGGCTTTGGGGAGGGGGTGTGCGGGGGTCTCTAACAGGAGATGATGTCTGAGGTCAGGCGTCCTCAGGAGAGGGTTGAGCCGCTCCCCGGCTGAGACAACCTTTTCTGACCGCTCCCTCTTCCCTTTGGCTGCCTTCTCTATGTGGAGGGTCTTTGGCCCCACCCCCAATGCACATTGCAACCCAAGGTGGCCCGGAGTCCAGCTGCCCAGGGAGGGTCCTCATGGGCACTTTGGGGGACATCCCATCCTGTTCCCTCTTCCGAGGTCATGCCACATGCCTGCTGCACACGGACACCTCCATCCATTTCTCCGTCATACGTGTACACACAGGCAACCTCAATCATCCATCGGCAGGGGGGCACCTCCTTCTGTCTGGGCTGGACACGGAAGAATGTCTGTGGGAATGGGAGGGAATGAACGTCACGGGAGAGAACCAAGGTCTGCGGAAAATACTGAGGGAGCTGCCTTGATGTGAGGTGAAGGTGATGGGGAGGTGAAGGGCCAGGTGTCTCCCAGGAGGGAAGGGGAGGAAGGACCAGGTGCTTTCCTGAGGGGAAAGACCAGGTATCTCCTTGGGATGGGAGACTTCTATAAGAGAAGCAGCTCTTCCAGGTGGGTCTGAGAGAGGAAGAGTCAGGGGTGAGAACTTGGGTTAGGGAGGACACTCTTGTCTCCATGAAACTGGAAGTAGGATGTGAGATACAGGGGCCAGTGAGCAGGAGGCCCTGGAGGAGAGCAGAGCAGCTCATGGAGAGCCTGCCATCCATCCATTCATTCATTCACCCATTCATTCATTCATCCATCTGTCCATCCATTCATCTGTCATCCATCCATCCATCATCCATTTATCCATCATCCATGATTCATCCATGCATTCACTCATCTATCCATCCATCCACTCTTTCATTCATCTATTAATCTATTAATCCATCATTCATTCATTTATCCATCCACCTTCCATCAATTCATCTATCCACTCAATTCATCCATTAATCTATTTATTCATTCATCCATCATGCATTCCTCCATCTGTCCATCATCCATCCATCATCCATCATCATCCATCTATCCAGCGCTCACCGCACCAGCCACATGG